ATGTATTTCCACCTAAAGTAGTAAATTTTAATGCTAAAGTATCAAACCATAAATTCATAACATTTTTCTTAATATTACAACTTTTTTTTTCTCAGTGTAAAACAATTTCCTTTCCCTATTAAATCGAAAATTTTGTAAGCACTTAACCATGCAGTGAAATGTTTTAATTGGTTCAAGAAAAAATAGGAGATTAGAACTCCAATGCACTTTTTCTAGAATTTTTATTTGTTGGGTTACGACATTCTTTCAGCAACGTGACGTTTATTACATTTATTTACTATGTATGAGCATGAAAATATGTTTTGCTAGACTGCACTATGTCTATTGTGAAATTAGCAATTTTTTAATTCAATCCTTTAAGTAAAACTTTCAAACCCCTGCTAAAATTTTGCTAAAAAAATCTTAACAATAAGCCAAATTCAGGTGCGAAATTTTTTGTGCTTTATTGTTCAAAGTATAATCTAACATATTTTTTTCAGAAAGAATTAGACAACACGACATGGCACGAAGTAAAAATGAAAATTAGAGAAGTCCAATCCGAGCAGCATATGTGTATCGATAAAGAGCAATTGACGGAATTAGATATATATCATCGAATTTTGAGGTATGTGGCGATAGAATGAAAGTAATGAAAATATAGTATGATGAAACCCGTATCATTGTTTATTGTTTTTACTTTGCTTTTGGATTTTACAATTGTGCCAGGATTCTTAAATCCTCTAGATTTACAATTTTTTTTGTAGTTTACGTACCACATCTACTTTTTTTGATGAGGAATATTACCCCCATCATACAGCTATTATTAATATTTAGCTTAATATTGGTACTATTTAAAACAAAAAGTAAGAAAATCTTCTGGCGAAGGACCGCACACAGTGGTCTGAAACCCAAATCTAGGTGGACTACTATTTGCTCAAAGAACCTTTAACACCACTTTGTATCCATATGTTTTTGAGCTCGCTTAGTACGAGTTGTGAAGTCAGATTTCAAAAATTCAAAATGGCGCATCCAATATGGCGATCACAAAAATTAAAAAATCTTAAACTCTATCAAAACAGGGTATTTTGGGGGTTTGGGATCGCTGATTACGAATCTCGCATATAAATTTCGAATTTTGAAATGACAATTGATTAAGAAACTTTTAAAAGAAAGTGAGTTTAGAGATGGTAATGTAAGATAATTAGTATTTTATAGTGAAAGTAGAAATCATTCTATTGTGAATCAATAAATAATTACTCAAATTGATATGCAGAAAACAACACTTGGTTTGAATAGTCGAATTAGTAAGAAATTTTATCAATAATGAAGATTGCACAGAAGAATTGAAAGTGTTAGTAAAGTTGGTCGTTATCTTCTGCGGAAGCTTCGAACACAAGTAGATGCAGTACTTCTTACGGCAGTTATCTTTAATTAACCATTCCATCAATCCTCTTATTTTTTTCTATTTAGTTCTTATAATTATTTACGAACAATAAATCTATATTAGGGATGTTGCGAATGTGGAACTTTAGACATCCGCGGATGCGAATGCGGTCAAGTATCTTTAAGAAATAATTTAGGTAAGTAAATTAGGTGATATATGGTCAGATGAACGCATGCCCGACGACTGGAATTTAAGTGTGCTCTGCCCAATCCACAAAAATGTGACCCCGCCATTCGCGCCAACTACCGCGGTAGGTTGTAAGCATAGGTTACAAGGACTTATCGAGCGTATTGTGTGAAAGACTGAAACCCATCGTCAATGAACTGATTGGGCCTTATCAGCGTGGCTTTAGACATGGAAAATCCTCCATAGACCAGGTATTCACAATACGCCAAATCTGTTTGCCGACTTTAAAGCCGCTTTTGACAGCACTAAAAGGAGTTGCCTATACGCCGCTATGTCTGAATTTGGCATCCCCCTCAAAACTCTGCTGTGTAAAATGACGTTGAGCAATACCACGAACTCCGTCAGAATTGGGAAAGACCTCTCCGAGCCGTTCGTCACTAAACGGGGTTTCAGACAGGGCGACTCCCTTTCATGTGACTTCTTTAATCTGATGTTGGAGAAGATAATAAGAGCTGCAGAACTGAACCGGTCAGAAACAATTTACTACAAGAGCGTGCAATTGCTGGCTTATGCCGATGACATCGATATCATCGGTATCAAAAACCGCGAAGTCTGTTCTGCCTTTTCCAATTTGGATAAGGAAGCAATGCGAATAGGTCTGGTGGTAAACGAGGACAAGACGAAGTATCTCCTGTCATCAAACAAACAGTCAGCACATTCGCGCCTTGGCACCCACGTCACTGTTGACAGTTACAATATCGAGAAAGTAGAGAATTTCGTTTATTTGGGAACCAGCATTAACACCGATAATAATGTCAGTATGTAAATCCAACGCAGAATCCCTCTTGCCAACAAGTGCTACTTTGGACTGAGTAGGCAATTCAGGAGTAAAGTCCTCTCTCGACGTACGAAAACCACGCTCTATAAGTCGCTCATCATGCCCGTGCTGGTATATGGCGCAGAAGCATGAACAATGACTACATCCGATGAGGCGGCTCTTGGAGTGTTCGAGAGAAAGATTTTGCGGAGGATTTACGGGCCTTTACGCGTTGGCGACGGCGAGTACCGCAGACGATGGAACGATGAGCTGTATGAGCTGTATGAGCTTTACAACGACATGGACATAATGCAGCGAATTAAAATACAGCGGCTCCGCTGGCTTGGCCATGTCGTTCGAATGAACACCGACGCTCCAGCTCTGAAAGTATTCAACTCGGAACCCGCTGGTGGTAGCAGAGGAAGAGGGAGGCCCCTACTGCGATGGAAAGATCAGGTGGAGAAGGACTTGGCTTCACTTGGCGTTTCCAATTGGCGTCAGTTGGCACAGAGGAGAAACGACTGGCGTGCTTTGCTGAACTCGGCCAAAATCGCTCAGGCAGTTACAGCGCCAAATAAGAAGAAGAAGAAGAAATTAGGTGATTTAAATAGGTAAATAAAAAAATTGAAAAGTTAGTAAATTTTAATAAGACTTATTACGTTTAGTACTTGCATTTTAAAATTGGAACATCATAGTTAATCAAAATTAATGTTGCTGCCTTTTCAATTAAAGCCATTAAATAAATACTCGCTCACATTTACGTGTGAAATTTAACAATATTTTAATTTCTTTTCGATTGACTTTGCACCAGTTGAGAGGACTTTAAATTTTATTTATTTTTTATTTCGGTGCAAGAACAATTCCTTTTTGAGAATTGCATCGGGGCTGCAAATGTCGGATGTATCGTCCTGACATTCATTTTCACTTGAAGACTCTAGCATCATGGCAAGATCGTTTTTAAACACAGCTTACAAGGCAAACGAAATGCGTCAGGTTTTTCTAAAGCTTTTTCCAAAGAATTCTTCATTCCATTCTTTTGATTGTTTCGGAATTTGGAGAACATGTAACGTCATCAGCGTTTTTTGATTTTAGTTTTTGTATTTCATTTTTAATCCTTTTTTATGTGATTGGTTTGAAAAATGTGTGCTTATGTGAGGTTCTAAATAGGTGGATATGACAATAAAAATTTTACTTTCCAGGATCTTGTTATTTTATTAAAAACGGACCCCGTTTTTTTATAAGCATTTGAGTTATCGGAATCACGGATGATGAGGGTCTCAGAGCTGCTTAGTTCACGGGGGATTTCTTCAAAAGGTTCAACTGTAATGAATAGCTTGTAATTAATTACTCACCGCTGTCAGTCATAATCTGTCAAATCCGTTATGATGGTCCATTCCATGTGCTCAATGCGCTTTCATATTTCGAGGCAGATGAACGCAAATTTTCAACATATATTGCATGCCAAGTCCCACTCCTCAATAAATATTAAATTCGCCTTGAATGGATTTTTATTTGATTTGTGAACTTGGCTGTCAACTTTTTCACATTCAATTTTATCTTTATTTCGCTGCGTGGTAATTTTGACAATTATCACAAAAATGTTGTTGCTTTCGAGCTGAAGACGGCACACAGAAAAGAATTTGCATAGTAAAACCGGTCAATATTATTTGGTGTGGTTTCTGCTAAATAATAATAGAAAACACGGAACTCAATCACAATAAGACGTTTAATGAGAAAAAAAATAATAATTACAATTATCTAACAAAAAGTAGAAAAAACTAGCGATGCATTGAGTTTTTTCAACAGATCTTTTGCACATAATATTCGATAGTTACATAATTCTTACCTAATTAAAGGCCAGAGCTATAACTTTTTAATTATTTGAGCGTCGCACAGTGCCGCCTAAGTGGGCATAAATCGAAAAATTCGTTATCTGCAATGTGAACTTGTTTGGTATTTCTGTAAAGACAATTTATCCACTAAAAAGAATAAAACAGACATTTCCCTAAAAAAATTATTATATGCCGCCAGGAAGCCACTAAAGTCGACAAATTTTATACTAAGAATTTTAATAAAAGCATAGCCAGGCGTAAGCTCTTCAAGGAAAAAAATGTCAAAAATATATTCTTTAAAATAAAATGTTGGTTTGACGTTTCTTGTTTCCATATAGATAGTAGAGAATTACAGGAATTAAAATTTTGGGATAAAACTAAACACAGCGTGTCCCTGCGGTGTTCAAAAAAAAAATGATTTTGTTAAACAAAATTTCAAAAAATGCTAAGATTTTAATGGAATGAGTAAAAAATACATGTAAAAATAGGTTATTTTTTATTATTTTATTAAATAGTACAGGTTTTTAGCTTTCAAGAGAAGAAATAAAAACCTGCTCATTTTTTGCACTTTCTGAAGTAATGCGTTTTTCGCTAAGGAATAAAATAATTTTCTCATTTTTTGTCAGTGGTTTGAGATCTGCACGATTCGATCCATTTTCAAAAATGAAGTGTCAGATTAAAAATCTTAACCTGTGGGCAATAGAAGGTTTATTTTTTTAAAGAGTTGCCACCTGTTAAAAAATTAGATTGTTAAAAAATTAAATTAAATTTTTTTTATATTTTAAATGAATAATTAAGAGATGGGTAATAATCGAAATGTGTATTAACTACATGTACAGAGTTGCCACCTGTTTAAAAAATCAAATTCCACTTGAATTGAAGGAATTAGGTAATTGAAATAGATAGGTATCACCATAAGCGAGTCAGACGAAAGAGGTTTAAGAAGGTTTTAGCTTCAAAATATTACGAATAGGGTTGCCACCTGTTTGTAAAGTCGAATTTAGTTAAAATAAAATAATAATTACGTCAAACCATAGGATTTTTTTTTTCGTAGGAGAGGGAAATGCTTTATGCACTGGCCGGGGCGCTAGTCTCTATACTACCTTCCCCGAGTGTGGGACTCCCACCGAAGCGTGTTGGGCTACCCACTAAAACCCAAATTCCCACCGGCCGCGCAAGAATCCCGCATCTGGCACCGCAATTCTGCATGTCTTCAGATGCAGGAGCGCGCTGTTAGAGCCTTGGGGCTGCTCTTTTGTAGGGGCGTTTCACTCGGGTGTCCTCAGTAGTCGTTTGCAGCGGAGTACGAATTTCACGTATCTCGCAACTGCTTCCCACTTTTCTGCGCTGGAGATCATTACCCCAACTATGTTGTTCGGAGTTATGTCTCCGTGTCTTTCTTCCAA